ATCTGGCAATATTTGTCATATAAATCAGTGGATCTAATTTCTCTCTTCACACCTGGAGCAACTAGGCCACAGTCACTTGACGACTCTAAGGAGAGAGACGACCGTTGGGACCTGTGCCGTTCCTCTCTACCTCACCTGGAGGTTCTTTTTGTCTTTATTTCATCCACTACATCAGTCCCTATATCTAATTCAGGTTGCAGGCCTGGGGCAGGCACCTTTACCCTCCGAGACACCTTACCAGCCCCATCTTCTGTGTTTGCTGCTTTTGTGGAGCAACAAGGAGCCCCAGCAGTTAGAGCTACATGTAGAAATTCTTTGCATGAGTTATGTACACACACTTACTCTGGCAGTACCCACGTTCCCTCCCGGTTCTCCATCACCAACAGGGCAAAGGTCTCCAAGCCTTTCTTAGGTACTCCAGAGACTGAAAGGATGCTTCAGCATATGGTGGGACTGCAGAACAGAAAGCTCTTCCACAAGCCTGTCATCATCACTCCATCCAGGAAGATTGGACAACATACTTAGAAGAGCTAGGTCACTAGCAAGGATACCATGTCACCTTGTTCTCTATACTTGCAAAATATGCAAGATCATTTCCTTCCACTCTTCCCAGATGCATGCACATCTGGCCTGTTATGACTTGACATCAGTCTTGAGCCATTACCCAGCCACTGCTCTTCCTGGTGGGAGAAATGGTTCTGAGCTTCTTACTGCTCTTAAATAGCTGGGCAGTGGTGGCGCACACTTTTAGTCCCAGCACTTGGGAGGCAGAGCCAGGCAGCTCTCCATGAGTTCGAGGCCAGCCTGGTCTATAAAGCGAGATCCAGGTCAGGCACCAAAAACTACACAGAGAAACCCTGTCTCAAAACAAAACAAAAAAAAACCTAAACTCATTCGTAATGTACTTCCTTCCGTTACCAATATGTTCTTCAAGTTAAATTTTTTGTTTTTGTTGTTGTTGTTTTGAGACAGGGTTTCTCTTCGTAACAACCCTGCCTGTCCTGGAACTCGCTTTGTAGACCAGGCAAGCCTCAAACTCACAGAGATCCGCCTGCCTCTGCCTCCCAAGTGCTGGGATTAAAGGTGTGCACCACCACCACCTGGCAAGTTAAGTATTTTCTATGCCCTTCCATCTCAATAGTTTTAAATCTCCCTCGCAGTATGGAATATCTTATACCTCATTCCTACTTCCAAGCAAGTGACGCAGCCATGTGTGCATGGCATGGAGAAGTGACGCGTACCTGTAGGAGCTGAGTGGCTGTGGCTCTCTGCTCAGGGCTTTTGACCAGACACTGCTTCACAAAATCCATGAAGTTGTCTGACCACAGCTCGGGCTTACGGAATGTGGGAGGAGGGTTTGTAGGAATCATGAATATTGCCTAGTTAGAAAAAAAAAAAAATAGGTAAAATGAAAATGGCACTCCAATCTAAACAACTACATTTATTTGGTGAAAAGCTTTTCCACTTATCCACGCACAGTGTCCACGTGGAGTCCAGAAACCAGACTCTGATACTGTTCTCCTTCCCTTTCCCTTGCTCACATGCAGTCCTGCTCTAAACCTAACAATGTTGAACAATACCAAACAAACAAACCTTTCCCTTGTGTGTGCGTGGTAGTATTATGCATGTTCATGCAGGTGTGGACGCGAGTACATGTACACATGTGCATGCATACATGCAGACCAAGGCTCAACCTCAAGCATCACTCCTGAGCGGGACTGGAGCTCAGTGGCAGGGCAGCTGCCCCACATAAATGAGACCCTCAGCTCACTACTCAATCCCCACTACTAACAAAGTAACAAGAGTGCGGCTCCTCAGGAACCATCTGTCTTGTTTTTGAGTCTCACAACGATTAGGTTAGGCAGGCTGGCCAGCCAGGAGCCCTAGGAATCTACCTGACTTTCTCTCGAAGTGCTGAGATTATAAACACACATCATCACACCTAGCTTTTTATGTAGATGCTAGAGAATGAACTCAGGTCCTCAGGCTTGCAAGGCAAACACTTACCAAGTGAGCCGCCTCTTTAGCCTCAAACAAATTTGGGACAAGGGGCAACCATACCACGTGGGTTTCAATGTGGAAAGACACCTATCTGTACCCTGAAGACAACTTCAGACCCATAGTTGTTAAACTCCCCTCCTTCAAAGCCACCAATGAATGTCAGCAATGACTCTAAGATCATCAACTAGAAGTCCTGAAAGTCACAGGGAGCTCTCAGCTTGGCCACCCCAAATGATTTTCGTTAATCTTCATGTCTTAATCATGTGTGAAGGTGTGAGTATGGGGCATGGGGTGAGGAGAAAGAGAGTGTATGTGTGTGGTACCAGGGACTGAATGCAGAGTTTATGGATGACAAACAGGATGTCTGCCACTCAGCTATTCTTCCAGTCCCTCAAATCCTCACTGTGCAGAAAAGAAAAGCTAAAAATCAAGCTACTAAAACAGAGCACAATTAAATTCTACTTTACAAAGGTCGAGGTTATTACGAAGGGCTGGAGAGATTGCTCAGTAGTTAGTATCACATACTGCTCTTACAGAGGGCCCGAGTTCAGTTCCCAACACCCATGTCAGGCAGTTCACAACCACTTCCTACTCCAGCTTCAGGGAATCTGACATCCTCTTCTGGCCTCCAAGGGCAGCACACAATGAAAATAATAAATCTTTCTCTAAAAAGACTACTAATTGTTGAATTTTAAATGATGGAAACCTCTACTTTATGCAAAATAAAACCCTTTACATTAGACAGTTAAGTTGTATTCTTTACCTAAAAGTATAACATGTAAACCCTCCACTCTTCGCCTCTTCAGCCCCACAAAAAATAAATAAATAAATAAAATAAAAAAAGAAAGAAAGAAAGAAAGAAAGGGATTTGTCTTTAGGCATATGAATACTTTTTAAAAATTCAAGGCCAGCCTGGTCTACAGTGTGAGCTCCAGGACAGGATCCAGAGCTACAGAGAAACCCTGTCTTGAAAAACAAAACAAAACAAAAATGCTCATCTTTTTTTAAGATTTATTTATTTATTATGTAATTACGTACACAGTGTTCTGTCTACATGTATCCCTGCAGGCCAGAAGAGGGCACCATATCTCATTACAGATGGCTGTGAGCCACCATGTGGATACTGGGAATTGAACTCAGGCCCTCTGGAAGAGCAATCAGGGCTCCTACCTCTGAGCCACCTCTCCAGCCCCCAGTTCAAGTCTTTTAGTGAAAGAATAAGTTAAAGACAAAGAACTAGTGGGGGGTGGGGCTTGGGAAGGCTGTGCAGCCTCTGGGAAAGAGAGGGGTGGGGATTGGAGGGAGGTGGGGAGGTGCAGGGGAGTCCTTTCAACAGAGCTGTGTGTTCTTTGAATGAGAAAAGCCTGGGAACTCCTTAAGAGTATGAGTATTGAAAGAGGTGTGGGAGGTGCAGCCTGTGAGCCATAATGCTGTAAGAGGACATAGGATGCAGGCTGAAGAAAACACAGCCACCAGAAGTCTGAGGATTCACAAAGCAAAACACCTACAGAGATCAAGCATGAAAAAGACAACCTGTGAAGCAAAAGCACACTGAAGAAGACACTGTAGTAGGTACTATCTGACACCCGGTGACCCAAAGGGGAGTCACAAAAAATGATTACATGGAAAGCCAATGTTTACAAAGCTAAAAATGTAGTTGCAAAGTGTATATAATGTATACAATATGTAAGTTGATCTACACACTTCTATAGCCTATGTCCTTCAAGGAGACTATCAAGACACACACTCTAGAATTCAGAATAGACTAGATTCAAACTAATGCCAGGGGAAGAATATCACCTACAGAAGCATTTATCATTATATAAAAATTAGCTCATTTCCTGTTTGGAATATAACCAAGGAAGTTGCCAACTAACTTCCTACTGATAACCAGTAACCAACCATCCAACTGGCTGTCTCCTTACCCGCATTGGATGGATATCGGCATATGGGGGTTTTCCTTCAGCCATTTCTATGGCGGTTATTCCCAGAGACCAGATGTCGGCCACGCAGTTGTACCCAATTTCCTGAATAACTTCAGGAGCCATCCAAAATGGTGTTCCTATCACTGTATTCCTCTTTGCCATGGTATCCTAAAATGGAAAAGGGAGACCAACACAAAGCATGAAAACTACTGAGAAAAAAAAGTTTGAACATTAAAAAATGCTTTGTTTATGCTCAGTAGTACAAGAGCGGCACAAATGTTATGAGAGCAACCAATTACTGTTTGCTTAGATTTAACTAGGGCTCACTCCATGAGATGGAACCCATACCCAATACTGTCAAATGAGGCCAAGAACCTAAGACTAGATAGTCATCAGCTCTCCGGGAAACTTACTTCTTTTATTCTGCTAAATGGACACAGCAATAAAACAAGTCCTAATGACCTATTGCTCCACCCATAAATCAATGCATCACTCAACCATCACAAGAGAGGCTTCTGCAATCAACATAGACCACCACAACTGGACAACACGCAAAAAGTTGGGACAATGTCCCACCCCTAGTCAAGAAGCTATTGGCATTTAAAAGCTGCTGGGAGAAGGCAAATCAGTTTTCTTCAATGGAGTGACACTGAGTATATCATCCATACTTCAGGGCAGGCCTCATGCTCAGGACTAGCCAGCCAATCATATTGGACTCCATGTTTTCTAATGGTTTTGCTTCCTTGGTTGTTTTCTTTTCTTTTTAAGACAGAGGGAAAAAAAGAAGTTGGGTGGGTAGGAAGGTGGAAGAGGACCTGGAATTGGGGAAGGGGAAGAATATGATTAAAATATATTGTATAAAAGTCTGAAGGAGGGGTTGGGGATTTAGCTCATGATAGAGCGCTTGCCTAGCAAGCACAAGGCCCTGGGTTCAGTCCTCAGCTCTGGGGGAAAAAAAAGGCTGAAGGATCGGGGGAGGGGGGGGGGATCTGTGGGTGGTATGTACAGTGAGTAGAAAATTTCTTAATAATGAAAAATGAAAAAAGTCTGAAAAATCAAATAAAAACATTGAAAAAAGAAAAAGAATACCTTGTACTTGAAACATACCTAAAACAATACTCGAGACATAATGAGACAAGTTACTAAAGAAATTCAAATGGCCAAGAACCATAGGATTCTCAATCAATTATTAAAATACAAAATTATTAAAATTAAAAAAAATTTAAATCAATACTGACAAAAACATAGGAAGTCAGCAACTGAAACACAAGGTTACTGGACCATGAGATGGTACAACCTCACAGACAAACTGGCAATATTTAGTAAACTTTTAAATATCCATATTTTTCTATTCAAGTATCTTTCTAGAAATTTGCCATGCACAGAAGTACCCCAAACAGAGGCAGATTGTAGAGTGCTTGCAATAGGGAAGAAGGACCAATTAAAATGACTATCAGCCTGTAATTCCAGCTACCCAGGAGGGCCACCGAGCAAAGGGATCCAGACTGGCAGGCAGCACTGAGAGCCCATCTCAATAAATATATTTTAATCACCACAAAGGTACCTAACACTCATAACCTGAGTCCTTGGCGAACTGAGGTAAGAAGATCACTGACAGAATTCAAGGCCAACCTGGACTACACGTGAGCTCCAGAATGGCAGGGGCTCTAGAATGAAACCCAGTCTCAAAAACATAAGTAAGGCCAACCACAGTATCACAAGTCTTTAATCCTAGCACCCAACAGGCAGAGGCAAATGGATCTTTGTGCATGCGTTCAAGGTCATCTTGGTCTACATAGCAAGTTCCAGGAAAGCAGGGCTACCTAATGAGACCCTGCCTCAAAAGGAAAAATAAATATTACAATAGATACTCATATACTGAAATGCTACATTAAAAGTTCTCTAAGAGGCAGACATGGTGAACGCTCACCTATAATCCAAGTGCAGGAGAGAGAAACAGGAGGAGCTTAAGTTTGAGGCCAGCCAGGGCTATACAGCAAGCCCCTATTTCAAACAGAAATAGGTATGGAAAATGTGTAAGATATTGCAACACCAAAAAACAGTTTACAAAATGATGAACAACACAGCTTTATTTCTCTGAAAACAAAATAATAATCACAACAATGCAACAACCAGTAAAAAGAAACGCCCCTGTGTAGCAGAACAGCAGCCTAGGGCGATGAGCACTACTAACAGTCACATCTAGAAGGCAGAATTACTCATTTGTCTTCTGTCTTGCAGATTTATGTAACACTCCCTTGGTTTATATGTGCAATTAGAAAAATCATTTTAAAGCTTAGATATAAGAAATGGTACCAAGTTCGACCTGTGGTTTGATGAAGGATCTGCGGCTACAGCACACACTACACTAATAAGCACGTGCGCTCCCCCAGAGCGGCGTGGTCCTACTGAGAGCCTTGCTGTAACTGACTCAGCACAGAGAGAGGACTTCCAAATGCAGGCAAGGATGCAAAAGAGCCTCCCTGTCCCACACGTCTGAAGTGCGTTCGACTTCAGTCGGGAGCAATGACAGGCAGCACTTCTGAACTGACCTCACACTGTCCATCATATATAAAAAAAACAAAGGGGGGCTCTCCGTGGCTAGGAGCACTGGCTCCTCTTCTAGAGGACCTGGGTTCAATTCCCAGCACTCATATGGCAGCTCGTAACTGTCCAGTTCCAGAGGATCGGACACTATCACACAGACATACATGTAGGCGAAACACCAATGTACATGAAATAAAAATATAAAAAAAAAAAAAAAGAAAGAAAGAAAGAAACCAACAAAGGAAATAACTTGGGCTTAATCATTTCCTCAGCTCTGAAACCTCAAACTTGCCAGGATGTTTTCAAATGGTGATACCCAAAGTTGTTTTCACTAGATTATTTCAACCAGAAATGGATACTCACATAATGGAAAATGTTTTGAAAATTAAGGAACCAGTGCATCCTAAACTCCAATTAGATCTAAGTTATAGAGTTACTAAGTATAAGAGAGCAACAGAGAGTGTTAAATCCAGAGAGAAACTGTGGCACATAAACTAAACGTGCACACACTCAAAAGGCAGTCAGATCCATATGCCACACACAACTTAAAATGCTTTCAAACTAGCATGAAAAGGACAAAATATCCCCAAACTACAAAGCACTAGCCAAGTGTGGTGGTACATGACTTTAACCTCAGCATTTGGGGTAGAGGTGGGCAGATCTCTTTGACTTCAAGGCCAACCTGGTCTATATCAAAGTTCTAGACCAGCCAGTACTACATAATGATACCCATAAATAAAAGCACTGAAAACTAGGTAGCCATCCGTAAAACTCTAAACTTAAATTCCTACCTTACACTTTCACTAAAATAAGTTCAAATAAGTTAATCTTCAAATAAAAAACAAACCTAGTGGAATCCTGAAAGTACAGATGAGCTGCTACATGATTCTGGAACAGAACACCAAAGACAAAAATCCAGAAAATAAGGGGCAGGTTCAGTGGTTCAGAGCACTCCCCGGTCTTCTGGAGGACCTGAACTTGGTTCCCAGAACCCATGTGGGACCCATCTGAACCATCTCTCGTGAACAACAAATGCATTCTTTTCGATGGGTGTTAGTTCACACTTGTAATCCAAGCACTCTCAAGAGATTGAGGCAGGAAGACTGAGAAATTTCAGGACCAGGCTACAGTGAATTCTAGGCCAACCTCAGCTACAGGATGAGACTGTGCCTAAAAAGGAGGGAAAGAAGCCTGGAATGATTTTGCACACACTGGGAAGGCAGAGGGAAGAAGGGGTGTATGTGAGTTTGAGGCCAGCCTGCTTTACACAGCAAGCTCCAGGCCAGCCAGGACTACACAGTAAGACCACATCTTAAAAATAAAAAATAAAATAAAACATGTAAAGGACATTATCCTAAGGACAAAAATCGAAGAAATGCTTAAAAATGCAAGCATCCTGATGTTTGCCCAGAAGGATCTTGGGATGGTGGGGCCTTGGAAAACAACATCGGCGAGCATCCAGTGTGCACAAGGGCAGGGGGGTTCAGAGAACCGCGGCACACGGCACACTCACACATGAGAGCCCATCGAGAGCCAGGCATGTGCTGCTGCTAACCCGAGAGCTGAGGCAGAGGGATGGAGTCGAAGGCCAGCCTGGACTACAGAAGACTGTCTCCAAAACAGAAAAAGAAACTAATTACACATTTCTGCTAAAGATGACAGACTGAACGAATACATTTTCTTTTCACTTCTTCCCAAAACCATCTGAAAATGCAAAGCAAAGCCACAAAATTCTAAGCTGGGAAGCAGAAGGCTGGCTGAACAGTAACTAACTGAACAGACAATCAAATGGACTCTTGAGTCAGTCACTGGGAAAACTGAGAACAACCTAGTTCCAGCACAGACCCTTCCAAAGGGCTTACAAACTGTTGGCATTGAGAATGATAAAAGTGGATCTCACAACAACACTGGATTGAAGAACTCTGAAGGATTTAGAAAGCCAGGCATCTTGGCTCAGGCATCTAATCCCAGCATTCAGGAGGCTGAAGCAAGGGAACCAAGAGGTCCAAGCCAGACAAGGCTGTACTGCAAAGCCCTTTCACAAAAAGAAGTCAACATATACAAAAGAAGGACAGCCAGAGGGAGGCTCAGCAATTAAGAATGCTTCCTACTCTGTCAAGAGGACCTCAGTTTGGATCCCAGCACCCACGTCAGACAGCTCACAACTGCCTGTAACTCCAACTCCACATCGTTCCTACACCTCTGACCTCCCTCCCAAGGGCACCCACACTCACGCCCATGTACCCATACAGAATATATGCATACACATAAACAAAAATAAGAAAAATAAGGCAGCTGTGGTGGCACATGCCTTTAGTCCTAGCACTTGGAAGGCAGAGACAGGCAAATATCTCAGAGTTCATGGTCAGCCTGGTCTACATAGCAAGCTCCAGGCAAACCTTGCTACATGGTAAGACTCTGACTCAAAAATAAAAAATAAAAAAATAATAAAACATTTCAAATAAACTATATAAAATAAAATGAAGCAGCTCTCACATGAAGGAAAAGGGCTTCCTTTGCTTGATCTGCATTAGACTGGACACTCACTCCCTAGAGAGAGAAACTGAGGACCCCTGATAGTGAAGTTGGGGGAGCACTGTGAATCAAGAACAATGTTACTAAATTCGAAGTTACCCTCACCATCACCACCACTTCCCCAAAAACAGCCAGCCGGGCTGCAGCATTTGGTAGGAGGCCAGTCAGAGAGACCTCAACTTAGTAGTACTGGAAGCCCAGATGGTTCATTATAGACTATGGTTGCATATTTGAGTCAAACAAACAAACAAACAACAACAACAAAAAACAAACCAACTTTTTGTTTTTGTTTTCTTTAGCAAAACACTACATGTTCACTGTAGAAGTTTGAGAATTTGGGGGAGTGGGGGGGGGGGGATGAGCAATAGGAGCTGGAGACAGTAAAGTGCCTGAGGACCTGAGTTCTAACGCAATGAAAGCTAGGCTTGCTAGACCATCTGTAATCCCTGTGCTTCTACTGGAAGCTGGGAGGTGGAGATGAGAATTTCTGATGTATACACCATGAATAACAAACATCCCTGTCTCAAACATTAAACCAGGTAGAAGGCAAGGACTCACAACCTATAATCACACACATGAACTTTTGAGTACACAGACACAATTTTAAAAAAAGAAAACTAGCAATAAACAAGCTCAGTAACATTGTAGAACACAATATATAAATATCAACCATATTCACGTATAATAACAATAAATAATTTGAAATCAAAGTGTTCTACTTAAAATAGCATCAAAAAGAACAAACCACTAAAAAATGAACTAACCAAATTAATGCGAAATGCTTACTATACAAATGACAATATTGATGAAAAATGCAAGATATAAGTAGATGCAAAAGCATCTTGGGTCTGTGAATTACATGGCTTAATACGAAGATGGTAGTAATTTTAAAACTGACTTATGAGTCAATGCAGTGTCTATCAAAATCCCAATGATTTCTTTGCAAAAATAACCCACTAATCTAAAACTCAGAGAGAAATGCAGGATCCCAGAGGAATCAAAACAGTTTTGAAAGAGGACAAAGTTGACGGTCTCATGTTAACCAAAGCTGTAAAAGCCAAGACAGTGAAGTACAGACACAATGACCTAAATACAGGCCAACCAAATACAACCAAAGTCCCAGAAATAAACCCACACTTGATTTTCAGCAAGAACCAATACGTAAGTGAACAAAAGAAACGCTAAAGGTCTATCAACAAGTAACTGAAATAAATGGTCCATGACCAGTTATCAATACACAAAAGAATGTATCTGGATACCTATCTCATGGCATGAAAATTAACTCATCTCAAAGCAAATGTTAGAGCTAAAACCACTAAACACATAGAAGGTCATGGCTTCTTAGCTATAGCACCAGAAGCATAAGCAACAAAAGAAACTGGACATAAGTTAGACAGGCATGGTGGCATATGCCTTTAGTCCCAGTACTTGGGAAGTCGAGACAGGCAGGTCTCTATCTAAAGGCCAGCCTAGTCTACATAGAGAGTTCTAGATCAGCCAGGCCTACATAGTGAAACCTGGTCTAAAAAAAAAAAATGGTTTG